CAGAAAAGATTTCGCGAAGCATATAGTCGCCGCCTTGTTCGTTTGCTCGGGGCTATAACTTCTGTCTTGCTGGAAAAATAAATGATATATGTAGGATGACATGGCGATGGCTTACGTATACTAGGTCCCTAATGTATCAACGTGTCTTAATGCATCATAACATACGTACCACTGTTTAGTCACTTCGCCAAAGTAAAACGTAACATTGAGTTTAAAAGTAAAATTCCTAAGTAAAAATAGCCATAGCAACTTTTGCTTTTAACTTGACTATTGTCACAATTGCACAATGATTATTGTTGGTGGTTTTTGTAGGGTTAACGTCCTTATAACATTTAAGTGTGTGGGTTCATGTATGTAATGTATGCGTGCTTTGGTTAATGTAAGCGATACATGAATATTACTAGTTCTAGCTTCAGCGACAGGAATTTGCAGCATTAATGCCAGCCATTAAAAGTAGACATTGTGAAGTCAGGTTGTTTAAATCTGTTAATATCTTTTTTCTATAATGATAGCTGCATTATGAATGTTTGATAATTATATATCACGCAAGTAGGCACGTGGTCTTCTGGTCAATGACCATATGATGCTGACAGACCTGGGAGGCATGAACCGGCTTAGTGTTGTAATAACATGATAAATGGAAACTGTGAACTAATTGCCAATGCTTTAAGTATATTTGGTAATGTTTATACAACTGTGTTCGTTAATTCATATTATTTCGTGTAAAGAAACATAATAACAAGAAAACATTTTAAAATGTTTATTTTTTGGACAGCAAGTAATTAGAGAATTTTTTGACAAGTTGGAACCTCCAAATTATGCCACGTTCACAGTTTGTTAGCTACTATTATCAAGTGCGTGTAAAAGTTTGGTTTTCACCACCAATTGACGTCAGTTAAACTTCAATTTAGCAATAAGCTGACAAATGACAACTTGGTCAATGTTAAGTCATATCCGAATTGCAACGAAAATTTCATATATTTTGTAATCAATGTTATAACTTTTGCTATAAATATGCCAACCTTTTATTAGAAAGATGTGATTGGAACTGGCAAGTACTCAAGAACTTCATTATATCGATGATCTCTAATTATTATATTTGGTGTATGTATTTTGAAATATTGTAAAACAACAATTTACTTGTCAAATAAACGTTTTGTGTGTATTTTGGCGTGTTTTTCTTATACTTGTAACCCATTGCCGGTGGATAATGGTTTCTTTCATGTACACTACATGGTCATCATTTAGAGTGTAAATGCATTGGGTCCTTTTCTCGTTGACGTTATACTGTAACCAGGTAGACAACTGTTCTTGGTGATTTTGCAACGTTTTTTGAGAACCTTTGTGAACAAAACCTATAAAAACAATAACAAAACAATTCAAGGTTCTCCCTACAAAAAACCAGACCCGAGTTATCGTGATAAATTTACCTAATAACTCGATATGTCAATCTCTTGATCAAACCTTGAATGCCATCTAATTTACTTCTCTGTGAAATGTTGCCACCACCGATGGAGTTTTTTCAAACACCAACCCCATAAAAAGAGTGAATCGATTCGCTGATGTCATTCAGTCACTACAGTAATACAGGGAAGAAACAATATACGCTCTTTGTCATGACAAAAATGTGTTTCCTGCATAAAAGGAATGGATACTACTTTTAGTCAACATTAAAAGTATCCCGATTCTTTAATAACCGGAAGCTAATGCAAAAATACACGACATACATGAATGTACATCCTTAAATGACCCTTTTTAGTTGTGTATAGGACGTTAAACAAAAAAAACATTCCAAACCAAACCAAATACCCCTTACATACATGCAATCAACCTTCTCTCTACCCCGTATAAAACCTATCAAATTGTTTACCCATATGAAACAGTTCATATACCAATACTGTAAATCTAAAAGGGGACTATTTTCCCCTGACACGAAATACCCATCCCTGGGCAAGGGAATTATTGAACTATTTTCAATCATTGGCATAAATAAACTTTGTGAGGCATAAAGACACTTTTATATATATATGTTTTTAAACATAACCAAATATCCTACAATTCCTCTCCGGGCACTTAAAATCAAACAATAATAATAATAACAAGTACTTATTGTTATGGGGGACCATCACAGAAGTCCCCCAAACCCCAACAGTTATGTTCGCAGTGTCAAAATACATCTGCATATGAAATTGGAGCAAACTCGACCGACCTTATTTCATAAACGAACAGCTATGGTCAAACTTGTTCAACCGTTCGGATCGCGATAAACAAATGCGGCGCTTGCCAGGACTAAAACGTCTACCTCGTTGAAATGATATAGTAGGGGTTTATACATGAAGACCAGGCGGTGTGTCGCATACCGCATTTTGGTCTGTATACCAAATGTCAAGCTTGGGGTGTAACGCAAAATACATAACATCTAATTCGTTGTAGATTGTTCAATGCAATTTAAGGGATAAACGAAGATTGCGATGTGTTAAATCCTTGTATATAGTCCATTTATCCAAGTTTATATTATATCAGTCATGTTTATAAATACAAGACACTTGTACATAACCAGGGCCTGATACATGTACTTGGAGCGTTTAACCAATTGCATGTTTTTACGTGGAGGCAAACGAACCATCATGATATAATAGCCGAAAACATGTATTGTTGCAATATACAGTTCAATTAAAGTCAAACCCTTCAAATCCAGTCCATTAAATTGTTATCAATCAAAAATACCAAATAAACCAAACGGTATTCAATTTGTTTCAATTTCATCCCTTCTGAAAAATAATCAAATAAATATCGACACAATCCAATATTTGTTAACAATTCGTGGCTTCTGGTTTCGCCCGAGGTTGATCTTTCACTTTATGAGACAGCTAAATCTGACACCGAATCTACGTTTTTCGTTCATCTTTCACAAAACTGCAATTCAAATATAAGGACTGTGAATCATTTAATACTGACGATTCGAAAGATGATCATGAAGTTGCTTCGGCCACGGTAGCGAAAAATGCTACTGTTGGATGCCGGCTGGCCAATGATGCGTCAATATTTTCTGCAGCAGACCATGCTATTTATCTTACCTTTGAACACACTAAATCCGATGATATACCGCAGTCAGTGATCTATTCTGATTCTCTGTTCTACAGACCATTCGCAAAGTAACTTGAAATTATCTCGATTCGAAAAACATAAACAATATTACATAACATTACCTAAAATGTCATATTACTTTTTGCTGAGCTTCCGGCCATGGGGTAACACCAGATAATGAAAGCCAGATCGTGCCGCGAAAGCAGCACTTTTGCTACCTCCTTGTGATTATGAACTTCATTTCACTGATTTCAAACCAGATATGGCAAAATAATTGGAATCAATGCGAAGATAACAATTTATATTCAATTTAATCTGAAATTCGTAAATGGCATCCTAGCTGCAGAGAGAGATGGGTCATTCATACATTGACCTCTGTTATTTTCTCAAACGTGAAGACCAGTCTCAATGCATAGTGTGTCAGGAATCATTTACACTAAAACACTTGCTATTTTATTCTGTCGACCTTCAGTCAACTTGGGTAAATTTCTAAGAATGCTACATGTCTTCAATCTCTTTTAGGCTATCTGAAAGCTGTTTGCTCCATCTCCTAAATCCTGGCATTTCGCCAAATCTCTTCAAATTACTTCCATATAACTGCACCAAAAGGAGAAGGAAAGAGAAAATAATAAATAGAATGGGTCATTAATACTTTACATATTCTTATTCATTTAAGCAGAAAGACCATCCTCAATGCTAAGCTTGCGGTTTCCTTTCATGACAATCTTCCTATTTTGCAAGAGGATAGAACGGGAGCATGACGTCCGTAGTGACGTAAATGAACAAGTAGTTAGAAGTGTGAATTGACACTGACATATTTTTGCTGGTTAATACAGTATACAAAGCTGGACATTATCAAGTTTTTAGGTGTATTTATATGTGTTATAAAGAAGTTGTTTAAACGTTTTAAACATAGTTACCCATGTGACCTTGTAAATGGGCAAAGGTCATTCATTTGAACACATTTGGCAGCCCTTTATCCCAGCATTGTAATCTTGTTTATTCAGAAGAAATCGATAAAAGATTTTAAACATATTTGACCCCTTTGACAATGAATATGGATAAAGGTAATTCATTTGAACAAACTTAGTAGCCCTTCATCTCAGCATATTGCTGGCCACATATCATCATCACCCTGGGCCTCTGGGTTATTCAGAAGAAGTCATTAAAATATTTTAACATATATCACTATTGTGACCTAAAAAATGGGCAAGGTTATCCATTTGAACAAACTTGGATGCCTTTCATTTTTACATGCTACTGGTCAAAATTCATCATCCTGGGTCTTTAAGCTACTTGAGAAGGAGTCATTTGAATTCAACATTTGACGACGGACGGACGACTGGGGCGGCACCACGGAACAGACTCACTTGCCATTAAAGCAGGTGAACTAAAACAAATCTGCTGCACTCATTGCAATATTCGGGATCTGGTTTTTTTTCTATCTTCCTCTATCTGTCTTTCATTTCCTAGCGCCTTGCTTGGCAATACCTCACTTTTGGCTTTAATTTTGAACCTTCGCTCAGGTTAGGAAGGCAATGGGTTCTGTCTCTGGGCAAGGACATACCAAAGTCCTTTAAATGGAAGTAGTTAGTCCCTGCTTAACGTTCAGCATTTAAGGTTACAGCAATATCTTTCTTCAATCCCTGATCTCAAGGGATGGTGTAGTTTGCCGTTTACAAATTGGTTCTAATTATTTTGCGACTTGATGTTACACAATTTGTTATTAAGTGAAGAATCTGCCTATCCTTTATGAGTTCAAGATACGCCTATCCCGAAGGTATGAGAAACATCCGGTTCATGGCTGTGTTTACAAAACAGTGATAAATAGAATCCAATCAACATATCTGACGACATATATATATTGTGCGTATTGGTTATTCAAACAAACAAAAACATTTGGACTTGGAAGAGGTCGTACACGACCTCAAGTTCTGCGATTAACAGAAAGGTAAGGTGCGACATGTTTTTTCAATTTTGTTGATATTATCATTTTTTGTATCTATATCTGTTTTATCTTTATAATGCAAGGAATTACGTCAATGTACACTTAGTGAGTTTTTTTACTTCTATTCGTATACATTTAAGAAAATACAAATATGAAAATTATTGTTTTGGGCATTCAAACAAAACTGATAACAATGTTACAAATTTATATACGGGAATGTGTTTTCGTATTACCACTTATTTTGTCTTTTCGATTTATATAGTTAAGGCTATACATTAAGCCTTGTTGAATGTTTTGACGGGCGTATGAAACATTATTTTCTCACTTTTAACAAAGTAACTCTTTTATACAGAAATATGGAGCGCCTGGACATTTTGCTGCCTTTGTTACTAACTGGAATCGCTTCAGGAGAACAATCAACGAATGCACCTATCCCGGAATCGGCGATAACACGTACCCTATATGAACAAATGTCCAGAACATCTCACGACAAAGGACGTGATACCAATATTTGGGATTACGAAAACTCGTATCACATTGATCTACAGAAAGCTTCCAGTGAGCATCATGGGAGAAAGAAGAGATTTTCCTTCTGGCATCCGTTTGGCAAACAACAAATCGACTACGAGTATGTCCATCAGGAACTGAACGGCAAACTAATTAAACGGCATAATAAGTATGCTAAAAAACGTCATCATAGAAACCGACACCCGAGGAAAATGAGGAACAATGGAAAATCTCGCCGAAAAATGCACGCTCACAAACAAAATGACTTTATTGACAAGCAGTACCGTCAAAGAAAAACATTTCGCTATGGTAAATAGATTGTGCTGTGTTACGATTAATATTAGACTTGTCAAATATATAGCATGAATTGGTTGAAATGCATGTATTGTTAAGCAACTTAAGGAGGCTCCACACTTTAGCAATTAACCAACGGAATTCGTTGAAACTTTCACATAATAGTTATGCAACTATGTAGTGCTTTCCTCTTTGTTTTCTGCTTATGGGGCACTTAAGAAACCGCAGTTGATCTGCTTCTAGTATTTTCATTTTCTTTCCTTCGTACTTCATTCCTGCAGGTTCGCATATTTATTTCTTTAATATATCTGTTCAGCTTAAGAAGTGCCGACTTTCACTAGTACAAGGCCTCTATAGAGGCGTTTTACTTAATATAATATAAAGTTAACAGGAGCAATACAAAAATACTGCTTTTTAATAAATGGCGGGAGGTTTAGAACAATTGCACTATGATAATTGTTGGTGGTAACAGCGGCTTTGATATGGTTTTAGTAAGGTTAACGTCCTTATAATATTTAAGTGTGTGTGTTCATGTATGTTATGTATGCGTGCTTTGGTTAATAAATGCGATACATGAATATTACCAAATCTAGCTTCAGCGACAGGAATTTGCAGCATAAATGCCAGCTATTAAAAGTAGACATTGTGAAATCAGGTTGTTTAAATCTGTCAATATCCTGTTTTCTATAATGATAGCTCAATTATGAATGTTTGATGATTATATATCACGCACGTAGGCACGTGGCCTTCTGGTCAATGTCCATATGATGCTGACAGACCTTGGAGGCATCAACCCGCTAAGTGTTGTAATAACATGAGAAATGAAAACTGTGAACTATTTGTCAATGCTTTAAGTATATATTTGGTAATGTGTATACAACTGTGTTCATTAATTCATATTATTTTGTATATAGTAACATAATAACAAGAAAACGTTTTAAACTGTGTAATTATTTGGAAAGCAAGTTAATAGAGAATCTTTTGACAAGTTGGAACTTCCAAATTATGCCACGTTCACAATTTTTGGGCTACTATTATCACGTACGTGTAAAATATTGGGTTTCAACCAATTGACGTCAGTTAAACTTCAATTTAGCAATAACTTGACAAATGACAACTTAGTCAATATTAAGTTATAACCGAATATGCAACGAAAATTTGATATATTTTGTAATCGATGTGATGACTTTTGCTATATATATGCCAACTTGTCCTTCTATTAGAAAGATGTGGTTGGAACTGGCAAGTACTCAAGAACTTCATTATATCGCTGATATCTAATTATTATATTTCGTGTAGGACGAGTATATCTACTTGAATGTGGACTGCATTTGTATGTATTTTGAATTATTGTGAAACAACAATTTACAATGTTAAATAAACGTTTTTGTGTGTATTTGGGCGTCTTTTTTCTTATACTAGTAACCCATTGCCGGTGGGTTTCCAATACAAATGCCCTTAAAGATGATGGTTTCTATTATGTACTACATGTTCATCATATAGAGTGCAAGTGCATTGGGTCCTTAAGAACCTTTGTGAACCAAACCTATCAAAACAATAACAAAAAATATCAAGTGTCACCCTACAACAAACCGAACCCGTGTGATCTCGATAAATTTACCTAAATATCTCGATATGTCAACCTCTTGATCAAACCTTGTATGCCATCAACTTTTCTCTTCTGTAAAATGTTTTTTCGAAACACCAACCCCATAAATAGAGTGAATCGGTTCGCTGATGTCATTCAGTCACTACAGTAATACAGGGATGGAACAATTTACGCTCGTCTGTCATGAATAAAATGTGTTTCCTGCATAAAAGGTATGGATTCTACTTTTTAAACAACATTAAAAGTATGCCGATTCTTTAATTACCGGAAGCTAATACATCAACATATTTCCGTCTCCGGCACACATACACCCATGCACAAATACACAACATACATGAAGTCACGTCCTTAAATGACCCTTTTTAGTTATATATAGGATGTTTAACAAAATATAACCATACCAAATCAAACCAGATATCCTTTATATATATGCTATCAACATTCTCCCTATCCCGTATAAAACCTATCAAATTGTTAACCCATATGAAACAGTTCATATTCCAAAACTGTAAATCTAAAAGGGGAATATTTCCCCCGCTACCAAATGCCCATCCCTGGGTCAGAGAATCATTGCACTATTTTCAATCATTGTCATCAATAAGCTTTGTGAGGCATACAGAAACATTCACAGATATGTTTTTAAACATTACCAAACCTCCTACAATTCCTCTCCGGGCCCTTTTTATACCAAAATATAAAAAAAGATAGAAAAGAAGTTTAAAAGATAATGTCAGGATAGGGTTGGTTCTAATTTGTTAAACGATCTATTTACAGCTAGGATAATTTATATGGACGTGCTCCCATGTGTGTTGTGTAATCGTGAATGTGTTATTTCACTGAAATACCATGCCAAAGGCACCTAGCACAGTATTTCGTCCGGTCACAATTATAAAGACAACGGGTGAACCAGTTGATGCCATTTCAATTATGCAGGGAATCACAACTACCATTTTAAAGGACTTTGCTATGTCCTTGCATAGGATCAGAACCCATTTCCTTTCTAGCCTGAGATTAACTTTTTTCTTCCACTAGGTCCAAATTAGGATACATTTTCAATAAAATAAGATGCATATTAATACTTGAAAACTCGTCTTTTATGTGAATATTTTTAACTTCTGATTATAAATGCATTTTGTTGAATGTTTCGTTGAAAGAATGAATAACGATTAAGGTGAATTAAGTGAAAATGTAGTTTAAGTGTTATATGTAACTACTAAGGATAATTGCACCGTTCTTGGGGCTTACGATTGTAAAGCTAAAGGGATAATTGTCAGGAGCGGGCGCGTACACGCAAAGTGATATTAGTGATAGGTTTGCTAACAAATCAATACAACAGTATAAGAAAATTGGGAGATGCCGCCACTGTGCTGATATCGTATCGACTTAAGGGACAGCAACTTCCATGATAACTACGGAATAAGTCCTACCTTGCACGTCACAACAAGACTTTTGTTAAGACAGTTAACTGCTAAAACATTGGAGATGAACGTCCGGCATCGAAACGGGATCACCAACGTTCTTGTAAGTATACGATCTGTTTATTTACGTGTCATACGGCTATTTGCGTATTTAAGTTTAAAGTTAAGAACAATGGATAAATAGTAAACTACAGGGGGGGGAAATTGCGTTTTGCGATCTTAAATTTAGTTAAACAAGTTGAAAGACGCATGAATAGATGTCGCAGGGAACAGTGTAGAAAAGTCAGTTAATCTCTGTGTTCGAATATTATTTTTTTCGCTGTGTAATATTGGCGGGTCAACGATTTAGTGCAACAAAGTTAAAGCATATCTGGCTCACATTGTAAGTGAACCTAATATCGACGAATAGGTTGTTACTAAAGGTTAAACAGCAGGTAGTTTTTTTATTTTATTAAGTAGGTTAATTTTCATCTTCGTATTAGTTACGAAGTGTGTATTATCTTTCAATTATAACATCACCAAAAGGCTGGATAATGAACATTCGTATATGAAATGGGACTAAATCCCATATCATTTTGAACAATTTGAAATAATTTTAATATAAAAAAAAAATATACGGACATCGTCTGTCATCAACGTCCTAATCTTGTTGTTATTATTTAAGGATTGAATTCTGTTTTGTTGAGGTTTATGGGGTATAAACCTCAATGGGTCTTGAGACAAATTTTATGAACTGCGAAGTTCATTTTGAATTTGTCTCAAGACCCATTGAGGTTTATACCCCATAAACCTCAACAAAATAGGATTCTATCCTTATATTTACATTCAGAGTGATATTGATACTTGTTTGGATAATTTCTAAAATATCGGTCTTGTGCAAGTCTAACACCACGGAAGGTATCAAAACTTATGACGTCATAACTCACTTTGAGACGTCGTCCTGGTAAAATGATTAAGCAAATTAAGATGTAAATTATATTTTGAAATCAATTGAATACTTCTGACAAAAAATAAATAAAATTAAAACAATCTAAGAATGGAACTACTTCCCGCGCTCCGCGGAATAACAGAGTGATCAGGTTGATAATATGCTGATGTATTCATACGCCAACTGAAAAGTTCATTGAAAAATAACCTTTAAAATGATAAGTAGGTATATTGAGTCCAAGTTCAGTAGAAATGTAAATATTATAACATACCTAACGGCCCACCAACACGGAAAAGGGTAAAAAGACCTTTTCAAAGAAATGACATAAAAAAAATGAAAAAAGTGAAAGCAAATTATATATTAAAGTGGCTATACAAAATTACATTAGCTGTCAATAGGACGTCAAACCAACTGAACCAAACCAAACCTAAAATAGCATACAAAATGTAACGCCTAACAATAACAATAATTTAGTAGAAGCCGAACGTTCCTTTTGCAGGTTAGGGAAAATGAGGCCATTTTAAAGAGTCATCAAGAGGACACTTGATAACCTTGACACTCACAAACTGTTGACTTGGTTTGGTTTCATCCGGTTTAATGTCCTATTAACATTTGACATCATTTAATGACGTGGCTCCATGTTTGCGTCTAATATGTGCGTGCATTATACTGACAATAAGTAAACCAGTTTTTGCGATTACCTAAACGCTTGATGTTAAGCAAGGAATAACAACTAACAAATTTAAGGACTTGGGCATATCCCCGTGTGGCGACAGAACTCATTGCCCACACCGATTCGGCGAACGTTAACAAGTCAACTACGGCCAAAAGCGAGGTTTCACCAACAACATGGTAGCCAGTCTCTGCGTAAAATTCTCTAAATCTGAATATCAAGCAGAAAGTATCCGGTACTAATTTAATTGAAATTTTGTTTTCTCTTGCTCAGGAGACAGAACCCATATCTTTCCATATCAGCAACAAAACCTAATTTGAGTATTAGTCATGGAATCATTTCGTTAACATGTGTAAGGTGAATCATAAAATAAAAAGGAATAAAATAACATCCTATTCACAGTTAATGCCACTTACGAAGGTGTAATACATAAGCTATCATAACCCAGCCATTAACCTAATGGTGTGTATAATCACTTGTTTGCATGTTAAGAATTTAACTAGGTATGACATTACCAGTAAGCAATTTGATCAGATGCCATTTACACACGAATGATTTTTGTATGCATAGTTTCAAGGAAGATACTATTTTCTTCATGCTAAAACGATATGAAAGTATTTTTACATAAAGCATGGACTCCGATGACTACCTTGATGGAAATCTCTGTGGTAGTAAACATCAAATTATCTTGATCAGCAGTGATGAATGATATATTACCATACTTGTAATTATTATTATCTAAAAAGAGTGTTGTTTTAATTTTTGTTTCTAAACAACTTTGACATGGATTGTAATTTTGATCTATAGTGCTTTTTACGAGTCCTAACTTGTCGAAATGGTCATATGGTTCTGTAAATTGTTATATGGTGCTGTAAATGGTCATACGATGCTGTAAATGGTCATACGGTGCTGTAAATGGTCATATGTTGCTGTTAATGTTCATTTTGTTGGCTGTCTGCTTCAACTTAAAATATGTTCAATAGGCGTTTCTTTACCTTGATTGTTTCATTATGCGTAGGCAGCTTTCTCCTTTGCCTTCTCTACTGGAAAAACCGAAGACATTAGAATCAATTTGCTGCCTTGGAGATCGCTATATATTCAGTACCCGCACACATTACACACGCTAGCAACATGCTACAATATGCTTTTATAGATAATTTTATAAATGCGCCGACTTTAAAAAATATCCGTGACAAATTTGGTATACAATCTACAAGATTTGTTCGATACAGTTTCCATATGATGAATGCAATTATATTTAATTAAATTCAATTTATTTGTTCCGTTTTATACGACAAAATTGTCAATCGTTTTATTGGCATCTAATGTATTTGGCATTTTTTACTTTTTCTTTTCGTGAACGTTTTACCTGTAGTGTTGTTTAGCAAAAACAAATAATATGACTTTGGATGGGTCATAATTGAGTTCCCTAACAAGCGATGGTTGCTTATCATGTTTATCTTACCCCAGTTAGTTCATTTTCAAATGGTATAATGACACGTGGTCTACCGATAGTCATTTACAATTATTGTTACAGCTTAAAGAATAACTGAATGACTGAAGGTTATTAGGATTTGTAATAGAGACTGTCTCCCCTGTTAAAAAAAATATGACTGTGCTGCTATAAGCCAGGACAATGCTGAGGTAAGGCGGGAAAAAAATAAAAATAAACCAAGCCCAAAATATAGGGCATAAAAGCCTGCGTCACACAATTGCCCATGTTAAAAAGTATCACCTCAATAATTTATTGAATGCAATAAAAAAATAAAGTCGCATTATTCGGCAGCACAAATGACAATTTCGCTTACGGCGCCCTCTACCTTTCTGATTTAGACAATACGGGTATAATGCAATGTGCCATGTAGACAAATAACTTTTTTGCTGAAATGGAAAGTAATCCATTGGTTATTCGAAATACCGACCTTAAGATTTGACGAGCTGGTGTTTTTTATCATTTGAAAACGTAAAGACTACATGCACGCATGCACGCATTCACAACATACACGGAGGCACGTCCATAAATGACTTCGGCTGTTAATAGGTTGTATTGTCTCCAAATAAGTATTAGAAAAATGAAGTAAGAAAGCATTTATGTAAAACCCTAGTTTCCCAATGGAGTATCCATCACATCTCGCACATATTTCGCCCTAGATCAAAGAAATTGCATCCATCGCGAGGTTAATGTGCTTTAATATTCAGGTTTAAGTACAGATATATGACATATAGCAGAGTATCGCTCACCTTTTTATCTTAAATCTGTGGTTACCAGAAGTGGTTGTAGGTCAGAAAAAAAATGAAAATGATAAATATAAATATAGCAGAAACAACGATAGATTTATTTCAAAGATTCCATTACCGTTCACCGTATGAATCGTCAATAGAATATTTTAATGTATTTCTCCCTCCGAAATCAAATCTTTTTACGATCTTGATAAGGGGTAATATCAGTCGAACCTATTACCAAATAAATATTGGGAATATTATTACGGATGTCTATGGTGCTATATTACACCAAAAACTTCATTTTTAATTGCTTTATGGATGTACTTGCGAAGTGCAACTGTTACACGTAGTGAACAATCAGCACCACCGTTCTATTCATCGCGGATGCGTACATCATGTTCGGGTTCGTGTTTTATTAAAATGTAAGTATGTAAGCAGAGGCTTTTACAATCTGGTGCAACACAGTTAAATACACCAGAGGTTTAACAACAGACATTAGGGAAATGATCATCTTGCACATAATCAGAACACGCGAGAACTAGAAATTTGCATATAAAGCCGTGTTAACATTTGATTTATTTTTTTCAAAACATCGAAGGATGTTGGAACAAAACTTCATATCAAAACATCTTACTTTTTTTAAGGAATTTTGGATCATTTCCAAGAAGCTAATTCAATATAGGAAAATACTCCTAAGTACAGGATAAAACGGAAATAGGATTTTACCGAAACCATAGCATTGTATCTGTGCAAAAATGGCAGGAACACACAGTCCGCGATACATACAGGCAACAATAATACAATTGCATTAGAAATGTAACTAACCATTTTGCTCGTGTTAATGGTAATCCTACACCGTTGCAGCAGATAGAAATGCATTTCATTAGGGAGAAATTGAAGCCGGTGCCGTTCATTGTATGATGAAATAGTCACGTCCCCTGGAGATGAGAAGGCCAATATCGTATCATTCCGTCAGGTTATCCAATTACTTCTATATGATGACTACCGATCGGTATTTCTTTGGAATTAGTTTTGTCATAGATGGTGACCTTCAAGAAATTACAGAGTCTGGTTCGACCATTCATAAGCTATATTGTGTATTTATGGTAAGGATTTTCGTAAATAAGTGTCAAAGGGGTATTCTCTACTTACTTACAATATATAATTTATCGAAGCAATTTAGTTTGAAACGAACTTCAAAATCAACATTACTTTCTATGTCGCTAATATGGATTCGCCACGTGGTGTCATTTATGTTTGTTTTAAATAATTCTTTTCTTTTGGCCGTGTTGAACAATCGTCAAAGTGGCATCCCTGCAAGAAAATATATACCTGCTGTTACCTACTGCATACTTTAGAGCAAACTTATGTAGGAGCCATCTGCATGTTTCGGATTTGGCTTTGTGCCCTGAACTTTTGGCTTTCTCAGGCCACCCTGTATTCAATGGTATTTATAGCTAGTCTCCAGTGCAGGAAGATTAATTTCTCTCCTTTATTATCTATTAAGTAACCGGTGTAATTATCATATGAACAATAGAAAAGAGGATATAGTTCTGGCCAGAATCAGAACCGGATATGCATAAATTACTCATCCGCTCTTATTTAAAGGTGAAGACCAACTTCCTTGTTTCGCTTGCGATACTTCATTCACTGTTTAACATTTTATGATCATGTAAATCAGGTTCGTAATATTTATTTTAATGTACTAACGTGAAATAATTTTGAGAGAGTCCACATGACCACCATTAAGTACATACTGGAATTATGCGTCTATAATAGAAAAAGCGTTCACAATTCCCGTACATTTTTTACATTAACTCTTTACCAATTTTAACCTTTAAGTTGTTTTTGATGTAATGTCTTTTTTAGTTTCTTTTAAACGCTATAGGCCAAAAATGACCTCCTTGTGTCCCGAGGCTGTTACAACGTAAGCTTGAACAATGGTTTGGTTTTGGTTTTGGTTTTATAGGGTTAAGTACCTATCAATAGCTAAGGTCACAAAGCTTGAAGAAACAAGTAAGATTAAAGTTCATTTTTCCGTAACCGTAGCACTATAGTATAATTGACAAACTTCATTTTGACACGCTATGCCTTGTTTGATTAAAAATATGTTTATTCTTAGCGAAACAATTTTTCAGTTTTATAATGAAATGTTTGCTTCTAACTGACGTCCTAGGGTTGTTGTGAGATTTGAGTTACTCCAGTTGCTATGCCGTGTTTACACATTTTTCCAAAGTTGTCGAAACTGATAGTTTTATTTTCATATACACTGCTTGCGACAGTGTTGGTATTTTTTTCCATAGACGCTATCAATAGGTTTAGGGATTCATTCCTAGTTGGCTTCTTGTTGCCTGACTTTGTACTGTTACTAATTTAGCACTATATTTAGCTATGTAGGGTGTCAAAATAGGATTTGCGTATAGTAAAAACACTCTTATTCATACAATTAAATGCTTTATCAAATATTTTGTTTATCCTGTTAAACGTTTCTTTTTTGTGATTTTCACTGTGCATTTCTGAATCTATTGTTTCTTCAATCCCTCTTCCCCTACCGTTTTGTAGATTATTCTAAAGGTGTGTACTAATTGTACATCTCTTCAAGGATTATGTCTGAACTTTGAATGGCTCCAAACTTAACAATTACACCAAGTTATCATTTCAGGACATAATATTTTCTAATTCAGGCTTTGTTTGTTTTGGATTTGACGTCCTTGCAACATCCAAATTAATATAAGGACGGATGCCTAGGAAGACATCTTAAATGTCGAAATATCATCTGTCGTAATTTTGTTGATAAACCAGAATTTCTTCCCAAGGGAATGACAAACACACACGTGCTATTACGTAAACCACTTGAGTAAATTTAAAACGCTTTTTTACACATATGTTTCCTCTGAAAACTAAGAATGACCCTGCGTTAAAGGGTATTTGAAATCAAAACCGACAAAACAGATTCGACAGGACGATCAGTTTCAAAAACTGTCATTACAATGAATTTGTAGGAACCGATCGCCTCTTTGAAATGGGTGGTTTGGTTTATAATTATAAGGCTTAGCGTCTTTTTAACTGATAAGGGAATAATTAAAACAGACTTCCAAAATAACCCGGTGAGCCATTTAAGTCCCTTGGACCTCAATGTGGGTGAAACCAAAGATTAAGATGTCAAATAGCAATCATGCTATAAAGCATAAAAAATTGATTAAGGTTATAGGAGTGTATTGATAAACGGAAATAGGAAGTACATCCCTAGTTGAAAATCCAATGTAGGTATACAGTATCACAATTTCCACATATTCTAATAGTATTTCAAAGCAATCCAGGCATTAATTAAGGTGTTTTTTTATCAACCAGTCACATGTGTCCATTTTTCTGTACTTCAGGAAACCGGCTACCTATTTCACTACTGTGAAGGTTTTCAAGAAAGATAACTCTTACATGCAGTAACTATGTGCATATGGTTTTATTATAAAAAGGCAATTTTTAATCGATTTTAGATAATTATTTTACACAATTTCAGCATTTATTAAATTGATATACATTCATGCAATACTAATCTATGTCAGTATCATTTTTATTGACATTATTTTGCCCAAAAAATGTGTCTTTCGGGGTTTTTTCCCAAATTCTCTCCTTTTTACATAAATTTCCATTTATATCCTTAAAATTTTGACAACCTATATTTTTTTGTGGCTGAGAAATGCTGACACAATCCTATTACCTTAACGTTAATGTGGAAATGAAAAGAGCTAAACGTTGATAAGCAAATTGTAAATTTCTTTTGGTCAAGGTATAGTCTGCATCGTGCATCGATGTATACTACATATGGAGGATTGAGCTGAATGCAAATAACATAGCGCTGACGACGTCGGAAAAGTAGCATAGCCTACGAAAAACCTGAATGAAAAAATTGTAACGCCTACGGAACTCTTGAAATTTCCGAACCCGGTACTATGTTTCGTCTTACTTGGTCTAAAGTAATATTTGTCATGTTTTATTTGCAGATGAGCATGTGCTTCCTGATTTTTTTTTATGACGTCATGGCGCTTCCTGGTAAGCAAGTTTCCGACGGCGGTAGAAAACACATTACGAGTGGAGACTTCGATAGTTTAAATACAGAAGAAATTCCCAGTGAATTATTTTTGGATATCAACGACGATGACGGAATTGATGATCTAGAGCATCAGTATGAAGTACAGCAATTCGATGATCCGAGATATGTGACCGTTGAGGAACCAGGAGTTGGGAAGCGATTTCTTGGACGCTGGAGAAACCTAAACTGGAAACTCCGTCAACGAGAACTTAATAAAGATGATGTGCCTGTTGGGAAACGCTTCTTTGGCAGATGGATGAACAGGAATTACATTCTATCTAAGCTGGAAGCTGAACGTAAGAACCAAGTGGGAAAGCGCTTCCTTGGGAGATGGAGGAACCGTAATTATCTCCTGGAAAAAATGAAAGATGAATAGATTTTGAAAAAATATTAATATAATTTATGAAGTAGCCTCACTGCTCTGCAATTATCAAGTGATTGTGAACATGCATATCTACAACACATATGATCATGATTGAAGATTTAAGGCGAAACGGTGGTGACGTGTCATTTTTTGGAGATTGAAAATAAAAACTTCCCTGCATACAACTTGTATATGTTTCATATTTCTCATTTCTTTTTCGGCAGTGGCACGCACGCGTTCTCATGTGACCTTAGCTTTTGCAGGGACGTTAAACCCCATTCAAAACAAAGTCGTCTTATATTAGAGATTAAAATAAGGGCACAGGAAGCGGAGCACTATACGGCCGCAAAAAATGAGGAATGGTGGTTATTCGGGAAAAAGGATATTTTGCAATGTAGAGGTAAGCATATGTGATATTAACAGTTTGATTTAATCCTGTCGGACAGACTGCAGTCACAAACTTCATTTCAAGGAAGTGTTACTCCACGGTAGAAATCTAAAATGGAAAAACCATAACACATATAAAATGTGACCCGTTTTCCTCATTTTATAATGTGCGAACCTTCACATGGTACCCGTGACATATACTAAGTGTCACAGCATAAGGTCAAAGGCTATAGGACAACTTGCGCTCACAAGAATTTTTAAACGGACGGAAGGACGTAATAGCATCACACACTTATCCTTGCGAAATCCAAGACGGATCTTAGTGCACGTCAATCTGTGTTTTCTTCTTCAATATGATCATGTCTTTATTCATGTGTTGGTTTGGTTATTGTGGTTAAGCTTCCTACTAGTATCCTAGGTCATATAATGACTTGTCTTCGTATATGTAATGCATTCCTGTGTGACGGAGGCAGCATCATACAAGTAAACAAAATTGAAGACGACGGGACTTCCATGGTCTAACAACATTCCGTACACCAATATACCCTGTTTTCGGCATACACAAACACATGCACGCTTACACAACACACATGTAGGAACGTCCCTAAATGGCCTCAGTTGTTGATAGAACGTTAAACAATCTGAAACCAAACCAAACTAAACCAAACATTCAATGTACAACGTTACATTTTTATGTAAATATTTCTAACTTTCAAATGACTGTTTCTTACATTTTGTTGTAATGAAATCTCCCGTTTAACTTGCGCAGCACCATCGAACGATAACCGTATTTATAGCCGTGGTAAATCATATTCACCAGATGCTATTTTATGAACATATTTATAATAAAACGCTGCTAGCTCATTCATGGTATTAGGTGAATTTGACATCGTAATGTATCCATCAGATGGCACTACAGAACACAAAGACCTCGGCTTATATCGCAGATTGTAGATAGACAGAAAAATAAAGGAACAATGAAGAAACTACATATTTAACGTATCTATCGTTGAGGCCTATGCCTGCTATAATGCATTCAGAAAGGTTCATTTTACGCCATTAACAAAAAAGAGGAGTGTGAAATATTCCTAAAATAGAGAAACTATTGTAGCAATGCAATTGTAAATTAATGACAGTTAAAATATCTTTAAAGATGAACGAGAATATGCGGTTTTACACTCTAATTTTTCACAATTGAAATTTTCAGAGTTTCAGCATTTACAACATATGACACATTTAACAACTATATATTGAGAAAAATTAAAACGGTTATAGTTTGAAATAAAGCACGTTTAGGAGAATTCTTCTTTTGAATGGAAAACGGGGCAATAAAAAAGTAGTTTTTTGGTTAAGACAACAATCTCGCATAGAAATTTCTTTTAAGTGATCAATATGGTCGTCAAAATTGTAATTGGTACGTTTATTTAGAAGTTGATATAGTGTAGTATTTCCGTGTGTTGATGCTTTATTAACAGCCATTTATAAAAATGAATACTTTAAAACAATATATCAATAGAAAAACAGCTGTTAGATAAGTAAAACTATACCAACAGCATCAATTGGTTGTAAAAATAAAACATCTAATTGCACAGAAACAGTATTAAAAAAGCCCTGATCTTTCTTGCGTACCGTGCAGGCATGTGTGTTGTAGGTTTATGCGAAGTCGCAGTCCAACTTCTCTCTGCGTTCTACTGTACCTAAAATGGAGCGTTAAATAATCTTTTTCTACGCAGAGAAAATACATTTATTTATAATCGGTTAACACATCGGGTATTAGAGTTGCACATTTCAGTGTTAACAAATAATATAGATAGATAGACAGACAACTGGTGACAATGACAATTTAAGTTCAATTTATTACACGCAGACAACACAAATGCAAATCCCCAAATCTGCAGGGGGCTTTAACACTAGCCGTCTCTGACCATGTCGTGGGTAACAACAAGCGTATATCGTAAGAGGCGACGAATGAGGAAACCCCTGCAGAATTGGGGATTTGCTTTTGTGCACTCTACTTGGGGACACAAAAGCGTCCAAAATAAATCTGCTGTACCCATTGCAATATTTGGGATGTTTATACATCTCTCTTCTTCTATCTACCTTTTAGTTCCTAGCGCCCTGCTTGGCAACACCTCACTTTTTGCTTCAATGTTGAGCTTTTGCCCAGGTGAGGAAGGCAATTGGTTCTGTTCCCAGCCCGGGAAATACCAAAGTCCTTAAAAATGGATTTGCTATTATTTGTTTACTGTTCAGTATTTAGGTTTAAAGGCAGCAATTGGTTCACCCGTTGTCAGTATAATGTGACCGAACGGAATGCTGTGATGGGTGCATTTGGCCTGGTATTTCAGTGAAATAGCATTATAAATTCGGAATCAGATCCGTACTATCACAAGGAGGCCATACCACCAACACATAAACACGCACACATACACACGCACGCATATACAAAGGACATAGAGGCACGTCCTTAAATGACTCTAGCTGTTGAAGAACGCTGGAGATGCATCTTGCCAAGGCCCGACATACTTTTTTGGCAGCAGCTGTTGCCGCCAAGCCCGTGAATCTTCCACGGATTCAGTGAAGCAATGCCAGTGTACTGCTAACGACGACGCCCCTGGCATCCTCTCAAAATATTCGAGGGCCTCCTTTTCAGTGTATGATGAGGGGCCGGCTACCGCCCTAAAATACAGCCACTTGTAAAGCTGCAGTTAGAACCGTAATCTGGTCCGTCGCTACCTAAACAACAGACTCCCATAGTTGCTGCGGGAACGGAATAAGGTGAAGACCCCGCCCCACCTTTTTGGGGTCCTGATCGATTGGCACCCTGATCCTGGGTTCACCAGGAAACTGCCCCTAACGCCTAGCCCAACTGTCGGAGTAGGCATAGTTAGCTAGATAGTAAACTATTAAGAAATTGTCCCACGTTTTCCACTCGCGGAGAGGAGAAGGGACGGACAAGCAAGGGCGAACTTTCTAAGAAAAACTGTCAAAACAATCAACAAAAGCGTCAGTTTGACACTTGCTGACACTGGATGTAGCGAGCCTCACACCGTCTCTACACGGGATTTGATGACAGCTCTATGCTAAAAAAAACTAGTGAGGACGTATATCACTCACATGCATGTGTTCTGTTCAATAGTCAGGGATTCCACGATATCGGTCAACAGTTAAAGGGAGATAACTCCCGAAATTAACCACAAATGGTCACCTGGTTTGAAGCAAGGTTTTTGCCCGGTAATTACACGTTATTAATATTTGTAAATATTTTTTCCCGTAAGATATAGGGTCTACATTTAACAACCTTACTGAAGTCTGTCAGATTATCCAATGTCAGTATGTGACCGAGCGGAATATTGTGCAGCACACATACACACATTTCCACATACACAATACCATGGTCCGATAACAATAAAAAAAAAAAAGGACATAGAAGCTACGGTTCCCGCACCTAGTTTTTTTTAGTGATATAGCATTTTAATGTCAGCACCAGAACCGCGCTATCAGAGAAAGGCAAATACACTCCCTCCGGCACTAATACACACATGCACGCTTACACAACACACATGGAGCCACGTCCTTAGCTTTTAATAGGATGTTAAACAAAATAAAACCAAATCTGCGTTGATTGCATTCGGCATGATATTTCATTTAGGTTGCTTGATTGTATAGTATTTAACGTCATGTCATTAGCAACAGTTATAGTGACGTTTCCGTTAGGTAGCATTATATAGTCGTCATCAGATCCGCGTTGTCGTAAGGGGGCAACTACACAAGACCAGTATACTGCCTCCAGCACGCATACACTACATACACGTTCTAAAATGACCATAGCTGTTAATGGGATATTAATCCCTATCAAATCAAATACTCGTTCAGCATCAACTGGGCACGTGTTGCTCTCCGCAAGGTCAATTATTTTTAGAGTTCTTGCCAAGATGCAGGATCAACGTCTTGCCACTCCTTCAGGTCTTGAATCGAGATAAGAATATACATTGTGAACCTGCTGCTACCCACTGCATGATCGGAAGAGGCTGCTAATATGGAAACCTCCATGCAGAAAATTGACATACATACTTGCACGCATACACAACGCATAGAAACACGTCCTTAAATGAGCCTCTAGCTGTAAATAGGACGTTAAACAAAATAAAACCAAAACTATATATGTGATGCTAGTTTTGTAGGGTTCATTTGTGTTTTGTATGTCATTGGTACGTGTCTGTTTGTAATCATCGATAAGCAAATGAACATGGTAAGTATGCTATAACTTGGCTATTAATTCATTTACATTCTTTATGGGTGTTCTGTACATGAGTCTAACAACTAAAAACCACTGCTATTAGACCATGAATGCATTTTGAATACAACGATTCTCGTGCAACCAGTCAGCTGATTTCACACACAATGACAACATATCACTACCCATATAGTACCGTTTCTGAGAAGAGTTATCTCCCCTTCTACGAAATAACGTAGTTGCGAGAAATAATAATAAACATCATAAAAATCATAAATGATGCACTATTGTACTATTGTTTATTTATTTCAATTTGAAATTTTAAAAATTGATTATCTGTCCGATACTTATGAAGGTCAGCTACTGCTATTCATTGCCGCAATATACATGAAAACAAATCCATTCAATCCCAATAAGATTAAAACAAAACATTACACACATCACTTCACAATATATATCTTTGTGGAGTTTTGTCCGCCCTGTGGTTATTTGTTGTCATATTGCTATCTGTTTGGTGCACCCAGGTCGTCTTGTCGAGAAGCAGT